ATTTATTTATTATGTGTACAGTGTTCTGCCTGCATGTATGCCTGCAGGCCAGAAGAGGGCACCAGATCTTATAGATGGTTGTGAGCCACCATGTGGTTGTCGGGAATTGAATTCAGGACCTTTGGAAGAGCAGCCAGTGCTCTTAACCTCTGAGCCATCTCTCCAGCATGAGCATCATTTATTTTTACGTTCTTTTTGATATACAACTTATCAAAAGAGAAGTCATATCTGAGCCAAAAGCTCAGAGGTAGATTGTTGAGCAGGACAAGCCGTTAAGCTGTACCAGTGAATGAAGTCATAATTGTGGATGATTCCCTTCACAAGTGGCATCTTCTTCCTTCTCCTCTCCCTCCTCCTCTCCTCTCTACCCCTTCAATATTCCATTATGCATGGCTGTATTAACTACTTTTCCGCTGCTCTCACAAGACATCATGACTGAGGCAATGTAGAAATGAAAGTGTAAGCCGGGCGGTGGTGGCGCACGCTTTTAATCCCAGCACTCGGGAGGCAGAGGCGGGCAGATCTCTGTGAGTTCGAGGCCAGCCTGGGCTACCAAGTGAATCCCAGGAAAGGCGCAAAGCTATACAGAGAAACCCTGTCTCGAAAAACCAAAAAAAAAAAAAAAGAAAGAAAGAAATGAAAGTGTTTAATTTGAATCCATGATGGTGGAGCAAAGGCATGATGGCAGGGACATCTGAGAACTCACATCTTGATCCACAAGCAGGAGGCAGAGAGAGAGAGAGAGAGAGAGCACTGCAAATGGAGCACATCTTTTGTAACCTCAAATTCCACCCCCAGTAACACAGTTCTTCCAGGGCCACATCTCCTAATCCTTCCCAAAGAATTCCATTAACTGGGAACCAAGTCATCAAACATATGAACCTATAGCGGCCATTCTCATTCAAACCATCACAGGGGGAGGGGCTTGAGAGATTCCCTCACCCCTCCCTGAGAACCCTTTGGCAGTTAATGGCTACCTAGAGAGGGCCAGTGATTTTCTCCAGTGATGTAGCCAATGGTTATTTACCCATGCACCAGAATATAAATACCCGCTCTACCCATGCAAACCACACTGAGTTGAGAGGGAGAGAGAAAAAGAGAGGAAAGGAAGGAGATATGAGAGCAGGAGAAAAATGTGCTGAGAAGAAGTTGTTAGCGGGACAGGGGTATGAGATAATAATGGGAGCATGTATGATGAAAACACATTATATTTATATGTGAAATTGCCAAAGAATAATAATTGTGGTGGTTTGAATGAGATTCCTGGGACACTGGTGGGAGTTGGTGACACTGTTTGGTTTAGGAGGTATGGCTTTGCTGGAGAAATACATAACTAGAGGTGAACTTTGAGGTTTCACCATCCCCAGTTTGCTCTGTCTGCCTCCTGTCTGTTGGGCTGAGATGTCAGCACTTAGCTGTTTCTGCCAATGTGCCTGGGTACTGCCATGCTTCTCTGCTTTGATGGTGATGAACTCTCATTCCTCAGGAACCATAAGCCCAAAATAAACTCTTTCTTCTTTAAGTTGTCTTGGTTGTGGTGTTTTATCACAGTGATTGAAAAGCAACTGATTTAATAATTAAAAAATAACCCGCCAGGCGGTGGTGGTGCACGCCTTTAATCCCAGCACTCGGGAGGCAGAGGCAGGCGGATCTCTGTGAGTTCGAGGCCAGCCTGGTCTCCAAAGCGAGTTC